TTGCTGCAGCCTGGAATTGAACTGCTGGTTTCGTCTGGTCAGAGGAGAACTGGCCCCCCGACTGAGCCTGGTTTCTCCCAAGGTTTTTTCTCCATTCTGTCACCGATGGAGTTTTGGTTCCTTGCCGCTGTCGCCTCTGGCTTGCTTAGTTGGGGACACTTCATTTCCAGCGATACCGTTGACTTGATTGCAAAGATACTATTTAAACTGAGCTGGATGTTGACATCACTGAATTCAATGATGAACTGTCTTTAACTGAAAAATTTTATGTTTACTATTGTCATTTTGCATTATTGACACACTATTTTCCTAATTAATGCTGTTCAGTTGCTTTGACACAATCTGTATTGTTAAAAGCGCTATATAAATAAAGGTGACTTGACTTGACTTGACTTGACTTATCTAAAGCAACTTACAAATGAGAGAAACAACAACGTTTTTTATTTTATTTTATATTTTATTTTATTTTATTATTTAGAAGATGTTTCTCATTTAAAGCAACTTACGAAAGAGAAATACAAGTTTTATTTTATTTTATTTTTTATTATCTAGAAAATGTTTTTACCCTAAATCAACTTACAAATGAGAAATACAACAGTTTTATTTTATTTTATTGTTTTATTTTATTTTATTTTTAGAAGATGCTTCTATCTAAAGCAACTTACGAATGAGAGAAACAACGTTTTTATTTTATTTTATTTTATATTTTATTTTATTATTTAGAAGATGTTTCTCATTTAAAGCAACTTACGAATGAGAAATACAACCGTTTTATTTTATTTTATTTTATTTTATTTTATTTTTATTATCTAGAAAAATGCTTTTACCCTAAAGCAACTTACAAATGAAAAATATAACAACGTTTTATTTTATTTTATTATTTATTAATTTGGAAGGTGGTTTTTTTTATCTAAAGTGACTTACAAGTAAGGAATATGTTATTATACATTATATGTTATATTATATTTACTGCATATATACATTTCTTCATTTAGCAGACAATTGAGGAATACAACAAAGCATCAGACATTCAATGAAAGACTCAAATCATAATTCGATGCTTACATGATGATTACACTAAAGTCATGATAATCTATAAGTGTTAGAACACAACAGACGCAGTCAGTATTTGAATGAAGCGTTTGTAATGATCCATCATGATCAGTGTTTGTCTGTGATGATCCGGTGACGGTTATGGTGTTATTTCTCTCTCTCTCTGTTCTCAGTGCCGCCTCAGTTCCTCAGCTACCCGTCGAACACGTACGCGTATGAAAGCACGGACATCGAGATGGAGTGTGCCGTGGCGGGAAACCCGCAGCCCACCGTCCGCTGGGTGAAGAACGGAGAGGCCGTCATTCCCAGCGACTACTTCCAGATCGTGGTGAGAATCCTTCCTTATTCATTCAGTGATTCTCATGCATTTATTCACTTAATTTCATTCGTTCATTCTTTTATTTTTACATTTCTCCATCATCACATTTATTTATTTATTTATTTGTTTGTTTGTTTCCATTTGTATTATTTATTGATTGATTTGTTTTTATTGATTGATTGATTTTTAATGTATTTGTTTATTCATTCATAAACATATTTTATTTTTTATTTTTATTCATTTATTTAGATTTTGTTTGTTTATTCATGTATTCATCAACATTCATTCATTATTTATTTATTAAATTTTATTAATTAATTAATATTTATTTATTTATTTATTATTATTATTAATTAATTAATATGTATTTATTTAATTTTATGCATTAATTAATATTCATGTATTATGTATTATTTATTATTTATTTATTAATTAATATTAATTTAGTTTTATTATTAATTAATTCTTTTTTTTTTTACATTTAGTAATTTATTTTAATTGTATTCCTATTAAAATATCTTACCAAAAACTTGCTGTTAGTAATTTTTTATATATATTTTTTGTCCTGTAAAGTGCTAATATTTTGTAAATGCATGATCCCATTTAAGCTGACGTCCTGAAGTCTTGATGTTTCCATTGTGAATGTGTGATTGTCCCGTGTGTGGTCTGCAGGAGGGCGGTCATCTCCAGATTCTGGGTCTGGTTCGCTCAGACGAGGGTTTCTATCAATGTATCGCTGAGAACGAGGCGGGAAACAGTCAGGCGATGGCTCAACTCATCCTGCTGCAGCCCGGTAAGATCCGACACACTCGACACGCTCATCTGCTGATCTGAGACCTGTGAGCGTCCTTCATCCGCACGCATGCACACGTACATTCACACGCAGGCGCTCGTGCGCGCTTCACCGGTGTCTGCTGCTTGTGGGCCAGATGTGTGTGTGTGAAGGCTTTTGTGAGGTTTAGTCTTGAGATCCGGATCCGTGTGATCTCTGAGAGATTTACCCAGAATGCTGTGCATGTAGAGCACTGATCCAGGGCTTTATCTGAAGAGAGACATAGATTCAGACATGATGCAGAGATGATTTTCTGGGTGTTCAAATGAGTGTGAGATTCTGTCTAAACCCGCCGTGACTCTCATACGGAACAGCTGTTTTCTGCTTATATATGCTGATGCATTTGGAAGCTCCGCCCCCAGTCCAATCTCATTGGTCAGTCAAGTTTCTGCCAGAATGCCACAATTACCAGCAGTGTTGGGGAAAGTTACTTTTAAAAATAATGCGTTACAATATTGCGTTACTCCCTAAAAAAGTAACTAATTACGTTACCTAGTTACTTTTTATAGAAAGTAATGTGTTACGTTATTTTCACTGTTACTTTTTAAATCTGGGCTGGGCTTGCTTGTTTGTTTTTAATATAAAAAGTTCTATTTCTAGCTATTGTAAAAGCCCTTTCACACCAAAAGCCTCAATCTGAAGGAAATGTACATTCACATCTTTAATTATTGCAGGTTTGCATCATATTCGGAGATTGCATTTGACTGTTTTTATTCACATGCTGATTTCCTGCAGCTCTTGGTAACGAGGTTTCGTTCATTCACACACATCCTGCACGGCTTTCATCTGATCACGGTGATCTGATATCTGGAGATGAAGGTGGCGGCTCCTCATCTTATTTGAGGGTCTAATAAAGTTTGAAATCTTATTGTATCTTAATTAACAGACACACACTGAGATTCTGTCACTGGACTGACGGTTAGAGAGCAGAAATAAAAAAAAACTGCATGTTCGTCATGATTTTGAGGGTTTGGAAGCAGACATATGATGCTTGTATTTTGTTACTTCACTTATGTGAGTATAAATTTAAGAAATTAATACTTTTATTAATCAGCGATGCATTAAATTGATCAAAATTGAGAGTTAAGACGTTTATAATGTTACAAAAGATTTCTATTTCAAATAAATGCTGTTCTTTTCAACTTTCTGTTCATCTGTGAATCCTGAAAAATAAAATGTGTCACCGTTTCCTCAGAGATATTGGGCAACACGGCTGTTTTCAACACTGATAATAATAATAAATGTTTCTTGAGCAACAAATCAGCATATTATTATGATTTCTGAAGATCATGTGACACTGAAGACTGGAGTAATGATGCTGAAAATACAGCTGCGCATCACAGAAATAAATTACAGTTTAACAGATATTCACATAGTAAACAGCTGTTCTAATAATATTTCACAATTTTTACTGTATTTTTGTTCAAATAAACGCAGAAGAGACTACTTTCAAAAACATATTTAAAAAATCTTACCGAACAGCAGTTTATATATATATATGGAACTAATGATTATTTTTATTTTGACAATTAATTAATAAAGAGATTTTTCGATTAATCGGATTAAAATTTTATTTTATTTATATTTTTTATTATTGACAAACACACTATTCCACATTCTGCCCAATGTCCTTCAAACAAACGTGCCAACTGAATGCTATGAAAACATACAGTGCTTGACAATTTATTAGACCACCTGCCATAATAAAGAGAAAACACATTTTAGGAATTTTAGGAATCTGTCAAAAAAATTGTTTAAATCAAAAAATGTTATTGTCATTTATTGGGCAAATAAACTTAAACAACTAAATAGTATTTATTCACATAACAAAAATGACCTCCTTCATAACAGCTTGCATTCTTGCTGGCATTGTTTATGTACTTTTTGACTAATTGGGTATCTGAGAAAAAACACTATAAAGCTCTCTGCCTTTCTTTCACAGATAACAGCAATAATGATATTATAGCATTAGAAACAGCCTACTACTGTTACTAAAGAGCTTATGCATATTGGAGGACTAACCCATACAGAAACCTAAAAAATGATTTTGGTAATCACCAGTACTGTTAGTTTAGAGCAGCAGTGGCACAAACCATAATTTGTCAAAAACCTTACATAAATTTGATAAATGTGTTATATAGTGAATATAGTTTAAATCTCTGCATTAAAAATTAAAATAATAATAAAGATGATAAAGATGATAAAAATCACAAACTCAGTGGTAACCAATAGGTAAGAGTAATGTTCTACAGGAACACACGTTCATTTGACCACAGTCACGTCATAGCCCGATTCGGACGGTAATTGTTTCTCATATGGACGTCTGTAAAAATAAATATACTTATCACCTCAGTGATAAAACTCATGGATTCCGAACAGGGTTTAGTGTCATTTCTTTATCCTGTTAAAGGCGGTTTTGAAGCGTCTGATATTTATATTCAGACAATTACACGCTGTTATCCCCTTACAGTTCCTACTCTCATAAAATATGCGCAATGCATGTTGACCTTTAAAACTTAATTTAACTTTCAACAACAGATATTTCAGCACAATAAATGTTTTTGCGCTGATTATTAATTGTCTCTGTTTCCGTCTGTCTGACGCCGCGCTGGCGCTCATTCAGTAAAGATTAAAACTTAACACAGCCCTGTTGAAAAAAACACAGCATATGTTGGTTAGGTATGTTTTGACGCTGGGATGCTGGTTTAAGCTGGTCCTTTGCTGGTTTAAGCTGGTCCTTTGCT